TGCAAAAGCAGAAAAGTGTGTTCTCACCCCAGGCCTCTGATCATCAGTTTCTCCTCTTCCCTTCCCATTCGGACACTCAGCAGAGATCTGATCTGACCCAGAGCAGCTAACAGGTTGATGGTGTCCTCTATCGATACAGAGTTTATTGTATAGGTCTTAGGAAGAGCCCGCACCTGGACAAAGACAGAAATATTCCTTTTTGTACTCATTACAAAGTTTCACACATTTCCTTCACTAGAAGAGATTTAATGTTGGCGTGAGAAGTTGTGCAGATGGCAGACTGAGCAGGACATTTGTCATCAGGTACCACACAACAAGTGAGATAATATAACAAACTGAATGCGCTGAAATCAGTTATATTCTGATGTTAGTGTTCCACATGTACTAATGTGCCGTGTAGTATTCACTCTAAATAACTGATTGTTATTAAAGATAACACTGTACTTGATAGAGTTGTATTAAGGATTATGTACAGCAGAATTATTTTAACTTGCATTTATTTGAATTTTACTACCATTACTAACATTATTAATTATACCAATATACAACACAAAATTAATTAAATGAAAATATAATAATGAGGCTGAGCTGTGTCTGAAGTCACAGAGGATACAAGGCTACACGAATCAGCAATGGCACATTAATACATACATCTAATCAAACACATCACCTGTTATATTCCACTAAAACAGTGTCAACGGTGCCATCAGTCGTATGGTTTCTCTGGTACAATGAACACACAAACAAACAAACCTGCCCTCCAATGCCGTCATACTGGCGGTGCAGCAGGACAAACATGGCCCGAACCAGCTCTGGATCCTCTATAACCGACTCCTGAGCCCAGCGGACCATCGTATCGGAAATCAACTGCTGCAACGTACCTGCAGAAGCAGAAACAAAGCGGGAGACAGAGAGGGGGAGAGACAGTGGCTCAGGAGGGAAGATTGCAGTAAAATTAGCCATAATTCTTATTTATTCTCCATTTTTCTTTTCTTTTTTTGGCTTTCTTCTTTATATTTCAGTTTAGAAGATTACAAATAAAACTCTTTATATCCAATGCTAAAAAAAAACCAACCTGTTACAGTAGTGTGAGCAAAAATCTGTGATGTTTAGAACCTTTCACAGATCTAAAGTGTCCGATTGTTTTTGTTTTGTTTTTTTAATGAAGGTGCTAACTTTTTTTTCCAGTGATTTAAAACTTGGCCTACAGCTCATGCTAGATGACAGGTCTTCATTTGCAACATATATATTGAGATGAACATATTGTCAAATGTTATGTGTTTGGTGTAGTGCAAAGGACTTACTGGGTTTTCTGTCTTTTTTCTCCTTCGGCAGACTGGCCATCTTCTTTTTCAAATAAGCCACCTTCTCCACCAGCGACATCAGTCGACCTCGTATGGTCGCGTCACTGTCGCTGTCTATGCCTCTCTCCTCATCCAACTCTATACCTGACAAAATGCTAAGATTAGTGTGTTGTATGCTTAAAGAGAATGAATTTAGAGTACACAGATATTATTAATATATATGATTGTTCACTTGGCTGTGAAACTGACCACAGTGTCTCATCAGATCTTCATGGAAGTCGAGCAGCTGTTCTCTGATGTATTCTGGACAGGGACACTCCTGTTTCTCATCCTTAAAGTTCAGCAGCATGTTGATCTGCAATTCAGTTTAAAAAAAATTCTATTCAAATAGTGCATATTAAAAACAAATGTCATCTCAAAGCACTTTACATAGTAAATTGAAGACTTCAAAAAAGCAGAAAACACATGTAAGTGTGAAACCGGACTTACATCACACCTAAAGGTTTTGATTCAGGAACATGTTGTCACTCATTTCTATGGTTTGTTGGACAGATATTTGATTTAGTAGTGCCTCCACAAACAGTACATGATGAGCCAAAGAATCACTAAATGGAAGTGTCACTGTCATGACAGATTCATTAAATGTGCAAGTAAATCTGTTCGGTGTAAAATGGGAACAGAAGGATTGTCCAGGGTTGAGAAGTAGGAGCGTTAGTATTTAGAGAGATACAGAATATTTCCTCATGTTTCTTAGTTTATCCTCTTATGGTTTTCTTTTCTAGAAAACAGAGTGACTGTACTTATTCCGTTAAAGGCTAGCTGTTTGCTTTAGNAGACATGTATTCCTAAATTGAGTTGAATTAAAAACAAAAACATTCCAAAACACATACTTTTAGTCTTGCATAACTTTGCAACAATATTTAACTTTTAGTTTAAAAGGCGGTTTGTCAGTGTAGACCATTTACCATTTCACTCTAACAGTGTTTCTGCTCACACAGGTAGTGGCTGCATAAATGTTCAATCCTTGAATCATGACACACAGTTTCCCAGGTAATCCGTATTTATGTTGCGGCTCATGAGCATGTTTTGCATTTGAAGCAGAACTAACAGGAAACAAACCAAAGGTATTTTTAAGATAGAAGAAAGAGTAAAAACATATGCAGAAGCAGCCAATACAACGTGAACCACTTATACACATAAACTCACCGAGGCCAACGCTGCTGTTCTCCAGCAGGTAGCTCAGATGGTCAAACATGGCTTTTTGGTTCTGACGGCTGATTCGACAGAAGTAGCACAGAAAACGACAACAGTTGGCCACCATTTTAGGAAAGGTGATTTCCTGCAAAAAAAAACAAACACATACGTCACTTACAGGATTGTTGACAAAAACCTTGGCCCTCCCATCAAAAAATGCTATATTGTCCATAAAGGTGATAATATTCTAAACAGTAACCTAGAACTACCTCATCACTACTTTACTACTGTTCTTGACCCTGGTACAGTCAGTGCTCTGATCAGTCTTATAGCTCTGCAGCCTATTCACACTACCTGTACGTACCTTGGAGTCTCCTCCACTGAGCACATTGACCATCACCTCCATGACAGTCTCGTGCATCCCCAGAGCTCTCATCAGGTTCGGATGCTGGTAGAAAACCTTGTTGTTCATGATGTCACTGCAAAGAAAGAAGGATGAGTTAAAAGCTCAGTGGAGTGTTGCCAAACTAATCAGGGTTCTCATCGGGTTAATAATCCCTGATTAATCATAAAACAAACAATCATAAACAAGCATACACACAAAAATAAAAAGGAAGTGGGTACACCCATGTGCAATATCACTTCACCATCAAATAAATTCAAATTGTATCACACTACAGTAATAGCACTGCTTTTAAGTTGAACAGTAGGTTTTTCCTTGTTATCTTAGAAACAATTTAGATTAAATATATTAAAAACACACACTTTTGGAATTCAAAGCAACAAAAGTCAGCACATCTTTCACTGCTGACATTAGACTGATCAGACATTTATTTGTCCCCCTTTTATTTTTGATAACAGACTCAATACTCCTCAGCATGCAGGATACCAAACTTCAGGAGACATTCTCTGCCTTCTCACTGTCATAGAAACTCCAATTTCCATTAAATATGAAATACTTTCCCATCAGTTCTTCAGAGCTAGACTGTGCAAGAA